GTGTGTGGCAGAAGGGAAATGCCTAAAACATGCAGGACAGGGAGGCAGTGAGGACCAGGGTTGAGAAACGCTGGGTTAGGGTAAGGATAAGGGTAAGGCTTAGGCTATAGAAATGAATGGAAGTCAGTGGAAAGTCCCCACAAAGATTTGCAAACATGCATGTGTGTGTGCGTGTGGTCAGTCAGGACTTACTAATATGTCCTCTGCTGATGCGCCAGCTATTTTCCACCAGAATTCATTGGATTTAGACATTCCTCTGTTTTTTTTCTTCCTCTCTCCCATTTTTCTCCATCAGATTACTCTGTGACTGTCTGTCCATACCGGGTAATCCACACAAAAGCACACTTACAGGCTTTTTACTTATATTTAAAAAAAATCTCCAATTGGTTCCAAAATGTATTTTTGTATGTATTTGTGCTGTTATTCCTGTGTACCTCTGAAGTTCCTGTGTATTTGTCTTTTTGTGTGGGACTCTGTGAGCATATGGAAGGTGGGTGTGTTTGCAGAGAGCAGGGTCCACATTGTTTGTGTCTTCTTGTTTGCTCATGCAGTTTTACTTTTTTTCCCCCTGCATCTCAGACAAAATGTTTGTGGCCGGTTCTCCAGTCAGTCTTGTCTTCGTGTGTGTTTATGTAAGACAGTGAAGGAGAGAAAAAGGCAGAAAGGACTGAAGAGCGGTTTGGAGCATCAACCCATTTAGGGTTGGCTGTTGAATCTGTCTCTACTCAAGTTTCTACCTGGTGGGCTTGTCGTCTGTTTAGATCCAGTAGCTGTGATAAACACATGTCTACGTCAAACCAGAAGAAGTTAGGAAAATATGTGTCTTATAAGCTGAAGTGAATGTCTTCTAGGAAAAATTTAAATTACTATTCTTGTTTTTGTTTTAGATTTTATTCAACAGACCGACACAAAGTACTGCATAATTGTGATGTGGAAGAGAAAAGATGCTTGAGTTTCACCAATTTTACAAATAAAAGTCTGAAAAGTTCATCCCCATTTAAACTCACCAATAAACCCAGAACATTCAAAGGTCACCTAATTCTTCACCAACACCAACGTACCTAAGCATCGGAACAGCATGAAAACTCAATAAGGGCCAAAACTGGGATTCGAACTCACAACCTTCTTGCTACAACAGTGCTATCAACAGAGCATCTGTGCAGTTCACACAGTTAAACTCCACTGCTTTATGTCACTTAGTTAAAAAAGGTTGCCCGTGTATGGAAGCTCAGCATCGAGTCACAGACTTTTTTAACCTAAAAATTTAACCCAAACAGATTAGTTCAGCTTAATTTAGTATATTTTGTACAATTAAAATACAGATCAATGATATTAAGAAGCAGAAATAATAATAGTGCAGGAAGAGGCAAAACCCCAATGGATTTATATAAAGTCACCAGTGAAATAGAATAGAAAAAAACAATATAATCCAAGAATATAGCTCTGATCAAAAATTTAAGAATAAAATAATATACAAAAAAGAAGATATAAACACATCTACAAAGTATTAATGAAAATTTGAATAAAAGGAATGCAATGAAAAAAGTGCCAATCACAATTCCTGAAATGCAGTTTTAAATAAATGTTAAACTCTTTTAACAAGGGTGTGCTGTGGTGGCACAGGGGTTAAGCACAGTCCACATATGGAGGCCTCAGTCCTTGAAGTGGCCATCACAGGTTCAATTCCTGGCCTGGCAACCTTTGCCACATGTCTTCCCCTTCTCTCATTACCCACTTTCCTGTCAACTAACTATCAAATAAAGGCCACTAGAGCTGACAAAACCTTAAAAAAAAATCTCTTAAAGTGCAAAAAAATCTAATTTTACATCCTCTGAACTGGAGAGAAAACTGATCTCTATTGCTCTGATATGATGAAGCTCTGAAATGTGGCGAGTTAACAATGAAACTGCATATTTGAATTAAAGCAGTGGAAGAAGCGCACTGGCATATCCTCTGGATTTACTGAAATCTTTTAAACAAAAATGTTAATTTGAACAAATGTTAATGGCAACTGTGCAGTATTTTTGGAATTGCGAAGAATACAAAATAAATACATAAAATAAAATAAAAATTACAATAATATTTGGCATTTTTATCTGGAAAAATACAAAATGATGAACCATGAGTACGTTGAACTTGACAACTTTGTACTTTCCACAAAGTATTGACTAATCAACTGCACTTAAAACAAAAAATTAATATTGTCGTTCATTTTCGTTCACTAAAAGGTTTCCATGACCATTCAGACATCTCCTGAAAGTTGCCATGAATATTCAGCGAACTTCTGAAGACAATGCTTAGTGGACGTCAAAATAAAACACTCCATATCTGGCGAACGCTGTGATTGCTGCCTGGACAGTTTACTAGAGGTTAAGCTGAAGGTCTGCTGGCCGTTTAAAGTCGTTTCATTTTGACGTCTAGCTGCAAACATTCACTAAGCATTGGCAGACGATGTTCGCCAAACGTCAAAATGACCTGTATTACCTGTATTAATGATGTTAAAGACTAACAACGCAAAACTAATGATAATAAAACACTTTATTCTGCAATATAAAGTACATAAGACATTATCAGCAAAAAATTCATTTGAAAATTGGAAGTGGTAGAAAAAAGAATACATTTTAATGCATATGATTTAATAAGACTATAAAAGTCAAGGAGAAATTCAGCATTTTAAAACATCTAATGTTTAGAAAAATCCCTCAGGAAAAGATGTGACCAGGTTTCTACTGCATGTAAAGCAGAAACACAAATACTAAGTTCTGTTTATTGAACCAGAATAATATCTGCTTCAATAAACTAAAAATAATGTTAGAAATTGACAGGACACCAAAGCTTCTGCAGAAACAGCCCAGAGACGTCAGAATAGAAAAATCCTTCCTCTGATTTTAAAGCTGCCAATGCCTCAGGGAGAGAAACGCATGGGGGGAATATTATTCATGTAACACACCTACCAATCCAACTGTGTGTCTGTGTGTGTGCGTGGATGTGTGTGTTGACCTTGCTCTCACTCTTATGGCAGGATTAACTCACACTGGACAGATGGCAGTGTGGTGGTGCTCCTCCCTCCCACACACTCATGCTAAAGCTAACACACACACCACAACTCAGCGCAGCATGGTGTGTGCTAGCCACGGCGTTGTGTCCAGGCACTACTGGAGGCTTAAATACACAAACATGCACACACAGAGTGAAACGGCAGGATGAAGGCCGTGTCAGCAGATGATGACTCTGATATCAGAAAGCTCTCTGCTGGTCTTTCTCTTAAAAACTTGTTCTGCTCTCACTTTTCTCTGGTTCTTCTCTTCATTAATCCAAGCAGGTTTGATGTACACAAACTTGTTATGGTTTCTCACAGGAGTACTTTATTGTAAAGACACCTGAACGTTTAAAGTGTTTTTTATCTGAACTAAATGAAATTTTGAACACTTTGGCAAAACTGGTTAAGTTTCAAAATGTTTATGGTTTCCTTTCAAATATGGCCTCAGTGTAACTGAAATACAAGCCCTGACTTGAATTATTGTCTTTAAGCTTGTAATAACCATTTCTTTGAGAATTCATAAAAGTTTAGATGTTCTAAAAAATCCTGCCTCTCACCCCGGAATGTTAGCTGGAGATAGGCACCAGCACCTTCTGACCCCACTAAGGGACAAGGGTGTAAAGAAAATGGATGGATGGTGATTAATCAATTATTGAAATAAAGCTAAACTAATTTAATAAATTGATTAATCGTTAACTGGAGAGTTCAGACTCAAAAAAGACCATTTACTGAAAAAATAACCCAACATCATCAGAGTTCTATAACCAAAACTGTACATGAATATTTTGGATTTAAGATGAAAACACCTTTGTCTGTAAATATGTTTTAGCCCAAACTCTTCAAGTGACAGTATTATCTTGACCCAGTTCACATTTACTAAAGGAATTATGTTGTGTTGCATTTTTTATTATTAATGTATTCTTAATAATCAGTCAGTAATCGATTAGAAAAATAATCAATAGTTGCATCCCTAGAAATGATGCAACACCAACTCCAATCTATTATATAGTGAATGAGTATTTCCTAAAAGATTGGTTGCTTTTAGTATAAGGAATTTAAGGTATAGAAAACTTTACAGAAAGAGTCTTTGACATTTAACCATAATGGACTCCAATATCACAGAGAGGGATTTTCAGTGCTTAGCAGATTAAGTCAATCATGAAGTGGACTGCTTTAATTCAAAACTATAATCCCATTTTGGGAATAAAATAAATTTGCTGAATTTCTTTAGGATGAAAGGAGAATATTACTTTAATTCACAGATTGACCAAAAATTGTGCAGTTTTCACTACACAGATCTCATTCTGTGGATGCTTTTTTGTTTTGTTTAGCATACATTAAAGTGAACTGTCTTTTTCTTCTCTACTGATTAGAATCTGTCCTTTTCCAGATCTCTGGGTTTCTGTCAGGAGATAATGACTCTAACTTTTGATCAGCTTCAGCTCGCTTTGCTGTTGCCTCCAGCGTTTCTGGCTGCCTGCACTCGGCATTCAGGAGACAAAGTGAGATTAATGCTGAGGATTCGTTCAAGCTAAACATTCGGAAAATAGA